ACATACCCTCCAGATTTCTTTTATAGTCATTCTAGCCAGGGTGAGGTGGAATCTCAGAGTTGTCTTGATTTGCATTTCTTTTATGGCTAGAGAGGTTGAGCATTTTTTCATGTGTCTGTTGGCCATTCTTAATGAATTCAACTTTTAAGGACATACTTGGACTGGAAGTAAAGGGATAGAAAAAAATCCATATAAATACAATACCAAAGAAAGAGTAAGTCGCATAAGTTATATCAGATGAGATCAACTTCAAAATCTGTAAAAAGGCACAAGGAAGGACATTAAGTAATAATGATAAGGGGATTGATTGAGCAAGAGGAACAGGCAGTTATAAATATATATGTACCAAATATTGGAGGATTCCAGTATTTCAATATAAATAGCAAATATTAATAGACCTAAAAGGAGAAATACACATGATTACAATAATAGGAGATTTTAACATCCTACATTAAGGAGTGCAGATTTTTTTCAGACAAAAAAAAAGCAATGGAGCAGCAGAGTGAAATTGTACCTAGACCAAATGAACTTAACAGACATCTACAAAAGAGTTCATCCAATTACTCCAGTGTACATTCTGCAAGATAGATTCTATGCTAGGACACAAAATAAGTTTGCTTTTTGTTTTTGGCTTTTTTTTTTTTTTTTGCTGGTCAACGGGCTTGAACTCTGGGCCTGGCCGCTATCCCTGAGCTCTTTAACTCAAGGCGAACACTCTACCACTTGAGTGCCATGGTACCACTTTGGTTTTCTGGTAGTTAGTTGGAGATGAGTCTCATGGCCTTTCCTGCCTGGGCTGGCTTTGAACTGCGATCCTCAGATTTCTGCCTCCTGAGTAGCTAGGATTACAGTGAGCCACCAGTGCCCAACATAAAATCAGTTTTATTAAACAAAAAAAAATGAAATAATATTGGATCTCTTTTGTCATAATGGTTCAGTATCACTAGAAATCACTAATGAGAAAAACTTTGAAAACTACACAAATTTATGAAAATGAAACACTTCATTTTCATAAAACTACTAGGTTAAGGAAAGAATCAAGAAGGAAAGTTAAATGTTTCCTCCAACAAGTGAAAATGGGAATACAACATACCCAAAAGATCTAGAAAAATGCAACACTAAGAGGGAAGTTTGTGGTCATTAATGCCTACTAAAATGTCAGAAGATTCACAGATAAATAATCTTTGTCACTGTCAAGGAACTAGAAAATCAGAACATACCAAGCTCAAAATTAGTATAAGGAAAGAAATAATAAAGACCAGAAAAGAAAGAAATGAAGTGCAAAACATAAAAACAATATAAAAGATCAGCAAAATGAAAGCTGGTTCTTCAAAAATGTAAATAAATCCAAGTGCTAGAGGCTCACACCTGTAATCCTAGCTAGCTACTCTGGAGTCTGAGATCTAAGGATCCTGGTTTGAAGCCAGCTCAGTTAGGGAAGTCCATAAGACTTTTACCTCCAATTATACACCAAAAGCCAGAAGTGAGGCTATGGCTCAAGTAGTAGAGAGCTAGTCTTAAGCATAAAAGGTAAGGGATGGCTTCCAGACCCTGAATTCAAGCCCAAGATTGGCTTGAAAAACTATGTAAACAAAATTTTCAAACCCTTCAACTAAGAAAAAAGAGAAAAAACAAAAGTCAGAGATGAAAACAGAGACATTGCAGGCAATAACATAGAAATGCCAAGGATAACTAGAGAGAATTATGAATAGTTATACGACAAAGAATTTGGTAACACAGAAGAAATGGACAAATTCTTGGATACCTATGCTTTATCAGGACCAAATCATACAATACCTAATTATAATTGGATAAAATAATACAAGCCAAGAATAAGAAACTCAACTTCTAAGGACATACATGGACTGGAAGTAAAAAGATAGAAAAACAATCCATCCTAGCAAAGCGAAAAAGCATAAACACTACTAATAACGAATGAGTAACAAGCTAGTAATGGAAAGTCTCCCACCAAAGGAAAGCCCAGGACCAGAAACCTTGTACCATCATCAGGCCAAGCAACATCTGAAAATAAACTGTGCTGACTATAGTAGCATGTGCCTGTAATTCTAGCACTCTAGGGGCACAAGGATCATGAATTTGAGGCAGACTAGGCTACACAGAAAGACTGTGTCTGAAAGTACTGAAAAAATAAACATAGCAAGACCTTGTCTGAAAATACTGGAAAAAAAATTTTTAAGGAAGAACTAATATGTGCTCATTTTTAAATTCTCCAAAATTTCAGAAGGAAATTGTTCCACATTGATTCTATGAGGTCAGCAATAACAAAATCAGACAAGTTCACAACAACAGAAAGCTAGAGGTCAATTTCCTTGATGAACATAAATGCAAAAATCTTTAATAAAATGCTAGTAAATGTAACAAAACAGCACATTTAAAAGACTGTCTGCCATGATCAAGTAGGATGAATCCCATTTGGCTGTTAGTTTGAGCCATCCAGCATTAAAGCACATTGAAATGTACAGTTTCCTATTACATAAGGAGACCTGAGTCTGTGCCATCCAAGTCTTACTTTCCTGATGACAGTTTCCTTTGAGATGACTTGCTTGAGAAGCAGTAGCTATTGAGGTGTTTTAATATATGTAATTATTATCACCCATACTTTCTAAATTCTAGTCGTAGTTCTAAATGTGGTTTGTTTAGAAATAGCATTTTAATCTCAGTTCTTCCAACTCAGGAACTAAACATATGAGGAAGTGTTCAACACCCATAAAGGAAATACAAATCAGAACAACTCTGTGATTCCATCACACTCCAGTTAGATTGACCCAACATCATGAATTCAAACAACAAATGTTGGCAGGAATATTGCACTGTTGGTGGGAATGTAAAGTAGTACAACCACTCTAGACAGCAGTCTGGAGGTCCCTCAAAAACTAAACATAGATCTTCCCTGTATTTCAACCATACCACTCCTGGTCCTTTACCCAGAACATCGAAGGCCAGGATACTATAAAAACATTTGCACCTCCTTGTTCATTTCTGCACTATTCACAATAGCCAAGTTATGGAAACAGCCCAAATGCCCTACAGTGGAAGAATGGAACCAAAAAAAATGTGGTACTTATATACTGTAGAATTTTACACAACCATTAGAATGGTATTGTTGGCATTATGTTATTTGCAGGGAAATGGATGGACCTAGAACAAATCATGTTAAGTGAGGTAAGCCACACTCAGAGAGACAAACAGTAAATATTTTCTCTCCTATGTGGAAGCTAGAACTAAAATACACTGGGACATGATAAATGATACAAGTCTCTAGGCATTCACACAGTAAGTTCAAAGGAACATACTCTTAGGGCAGGAACACAAAGGCTCAGTGCCTATGTGCCTCTGATAGTTTATCAAAATGAACTGCAGGAAATGGAAACAAAAGTTTTTCTTTATTTTTGTTTTCTTTTTGTTCTGTTTGTTCATTTATCTGTCTTTGGGAGAGTAAGGGGGTCACAGAAATGGAGGGACACAGGGTGAACAAATACAGCAGTGGTACTCAGTAGACACAATATTGAAAATGAATTGTATAACTTATTTGTGGGACAGGAGGGAAAAACTGGGAGAGAGCAAGAGAAGGGTGACATTGTCCAAAAAGAAATGTACTCATCACCTGACTTATGTAATTGTAACACCTTGGTATATCACCTTTATAACAACAATCAAAATTAAAATTTAAAAACCTAAAGGAAAATATATCTTCTTGAAAGTTCTGGTCTTTTCTCCCTACTTCTTCATAGAGATGTGAATAAAAAGTGATTTCCCTTTCCTTTTAAAGGCAGCAAAAGTTCCCAGTCTCAAGTGTGGAGTGATGAAGTAAAAGAGACTAGCAGACTAGACAATTGCAATAAAAAGCACAACTGGCTTTAAGTAGACATTGATTTTCAGTTAAGATTACCAACCTAGCTTCAAATGTTGGTATCTAATGCAGATTGGAAAAAAAAACCCACTAAACTAAATTTTGGGCCAAATGAAACCCTGTGAATTTATAGACAGACTAGAGCTGTCTGTTCCCTTTTCCTCATCAAATTTGGCCTTGGCCACTCCTCTCCCCGGGGCACATGTGTCCTGGCTGCCCGGCAGCCACTTGAAAGGTAAGGGGTGGCTGAATCCTGATACGATGGCCATTTCCTATCCCAGTTGGTAGAAGTAACGATAGACCTGTATTGCCTGCTTTTGTCCAGGTTTCTATGTTGTGAATCTTCCCTGGAAGGTACTATACTGAGCAGGGCAGATGGACTGGATGAGTTATCCAGTCCTTGACAAAACAGACTCCTCTGACCTGACTTTAACCTAAATCATGCTGCTCTGCCCCTGTTATTCCCTTGGAGTTGAAAAGTCAATCGACTCCCTAAATTCCTAAGTTACTAAACAGCAAAGTCAAAAATCAAATGTGTGGTTCTGACTCCACCGAGTGGATTTTTCCAGCAACTGAGAGGAAGCAATATCGGTGTGGCATAGCATCCTCAAAGAAGAAGCCAGACTTTTACTGAAAATAAAGCATGCAGGATAAAACCAGTTTTCAAGACAATTGCTTTATTTTTATGAAATTAAAAAATGAGCTTAGAATTCATTCACCATTAAAGACTCTTAAAAGTTTGGGAGTTGCATTTGTCAGAATTTGGTAAATTTTATTTAAACTGAAAGAAACAGGCTAAGCTTGGTGGAGTTCTGTATTTCTAGCCTCTTCTGAGCAACATTGCTTGTCCAGTACTGCCAGCTTTTGCTTATGCTTTGGTTATAGTTTTGGCTTGGATTCAGGAAGGTACCAGTGCCAGAGTCACTTAATAGTGACATAAAATTCCGTGGTTTTTTTTCGGTTTTATTTAGTGTATAAAGTAAGTAACAAATTAGGTTATTTCTTAGAGTGGTGTTCCAGTGAATAATGTTGATATATAAACTTACGACATTGATATATTTTTATAAATGGACCAAGGAAGCACTGGAATATTAAAGCTGCAAGGTTTTCTTTCTCCTTCCTGTTTCAGGAGGAACACAGAGATTACCACGTGCCATCGGGATGTCCTTGGCCAAGGAACTCATCTTCTCAGCACGTGTGCTGGATGGCCAGGAAGCCAAAGCAGTGGGTTTGATCAGCCATGTTCTAGAGCAGAACCCGGAGGGGGATGCTGCCTACCGAAAGGCCCTGGACCTGGCAAGAGAGTTTCTACCTCAGGTACTCCTAACTAGAATTCTGGTTAATTGGCCATAAGAGTCTCACAGACTTTCCTATCTAGAGAACCTCCTAATGCAGTGATGAAAATAGTGGTCATCTTGAATACCTGAGGTGCAGGTCCATTACCTGCTTTCCAACTAAAGGAGGACATGGTAGCTATAAGACTAAGAATCTGCCAGGTATGGGTAGTGAATGGCAAAATTAGCCTGTAGGATTAGCTACTCAGGAGGCTGAGAGCTGAGGATCTTGGATCAAAACCAGTCTGGGAAGTAGAGTTTGTGATATTCTTACCATCAGTTAACTACCAAAAAAAAGCAAAAGGTGGAACTGTGGCTCATTAGATTCCAGAAAGCTAGCCTTGAACCAAAGAAGCTCAGGGACAGTGCCAATGTCCTAAATTCAAGCCCCAGTACAGACACCAAAAAAAAAAAGAAGCCAACTAGAAATGTACATTGGATCACCCTTAAAATCCTTGAGGATTAAAATTGATTAGAAGATAACCTGAGGAAGGTTATATGATAGCCACATACTGATAACATTTCACCTGCCAGTGTTTGACACATATGACATAACTCCCTAGGAAACTGTTTTAGTTTGTTTACTGAGTGTTCCCACCTCAGTCATCTTGAAGAAGACAGCATTGGGTAGGGTAAAGTACCCTCACATCACAGCCCAGTGAAATATAATTTCCTAGTAAGTAAGGAGACCTAACAGCCTGTTGTACTCAAGTGGACTTTCATTGTGATGCCTGCATTTGAGATGACCAGCTTGAGAAGCTGCAGTTGTATGTTATGTGATGTTATGTGTTTGCTTGCTGGAGAGTTTAGCATTCAAGCACAGTACATACTTCCTCACAAATACACTGAAAAGATCTAGAACATTGTACTTTTTATTCAAGTTTTAAGGATTTTTTTTGTTGGTCATAGAGCTTGAACTCAGGGCCTGGGTGCTGTCTGTGAGCTTTTATGCTCAAGGCTCTATCACTTTGAGCCATGATACCACTTCTGGTTTTCTGGTTAATTGGCCATAAGAGTCTCACAGACTTTCCTATCTAGTCTGGCTTTGAATGGTAATCCTCAGGTCTCAGCCTCCTGAGTAGCTAGGATTACAGGCATGAGCCACCTGTGCCTGCCTTAAGGAACTGTTTGTTCTATCCCTTAGATACCTTTTTCAAATATCTTTTGAAATCATGGATTAAAGGATTTAAACTTAACAGGAAGAGTCTTCTGCTGTGTAAGTGATGAATGATCATGCTTTTATCCTAATGGAGCTAGAAGTTTTTATAGTACCCCTAACCATTTCTGGAGCCAAGGTAAGTTTTTCTCTAACTTTAGGTCACTTACCTCAAACAAGATTTATAACCATGGTGGAATATCATGAAATCTCTTTCCAAAAAAGATGCACATTGCCCTTACATTTCTCTAGTTTCTCTCCAGTGTCTAAAGATATTCTTGGCCTTCAGCCTGAGAACTTTTGCTGCTCTGTTATGATAAGCTGTCCTGAGAATGGCCAGACCGGCTGCATTGCGGAGTTGCTTTCTAAAACCACAGTGCCAAGTGCTGATGCTACTCTAGTCCTTCTTAAATAACTTACGAGCTGTTGGCTCTCTAAGGATGGAGCCCTTTTAAGTCATTCTCCATATGAGTTAGCTGGCATCTAGCCTTCTACTGAGCAGAGTCCAAGGAAGTATCATTGAATTGGTGGGAAGAGAGCAAGGAATTTTTTTAACAGCTTTATAATGACTTTCATTATAACTGTGGTATTTTCACCAAAATATTAAGGAAGGAAGTATTCACCTAAAGAGAAATTGAAGTACAGATGACAGAGGAAGAAAACGGTACCTGAACATTGGTATAGTGACCTCCTTTGGCTTAAAACTTTATGATGAAAGCATCTCTCATTTGGAATCAAGGGCTGTGTCTAAGAAAAGTCTTGGCATCATTCTGATGCTGGATACTCCCAGCTGTAATTGGTGTGAGCACACTCAGGGCTTCAGAGCTTAATGTAGAAGGCTCATCAACTCGTTAGCATTTCTTCCCAAGCCATCACTGTCCACGTCACCCTGCATGAGACCAGGCAGCACCAGCTACCTCCTTCTACCTCCATTTCTCCCACTGCCAATGTGACATTGAGCTGCACACCCCTTGGGAGTAAGCCAGCATCCTTCACTATCCTGGACGAGTTTCATTACCTCTCATCTGAAGGATGCTCCTCTGAGAATATTTATGGTTAATATTAACTTTTCTCTGGGTTGGATGGATGGGAAGAGTTCAGGGACTTCAGAAAATGTTTGGCTTGTAAAAACTACATGCACAAGTTACCCAAGCATATTTGAGTGGAATAATCTTAATTTTACATTGGTTACTTTGTTACTAAATTATTGTACTTTTATATAAGTAAAACCCTCCATAAGATTATTATTTCTAGAAAATATAAATAGATCAGATTTGATCATGGAAATACCTGTATATGAAGAAAAAGAAAGGCATTTTTCATGAATTCATCTATTTCTCCATTCTCTGACTAGAGCCCTGTTCTTGTGCCCTTTAGAACCTATTTGAATTTAACTTTTCAGTTCAAACTATGAAACTGAATTCACATTTATTATGTGTGAACAAGATTTACACATTTAAAATGAGATCAGTGAACTAAATTCCATCTAGAGAGTATTGTCTTCAATAGAATAGCTTAGGAAGAGGTTGTCTCTTGCAGGACATGGGTTATGTTGCCCTTCTCACAGAGCATATCCAATTCTTCCCTCCATGACCCAGGATGCAGCTGTATTAACCACTATACACCATCATATCAGTAGCTATCTGTGATAAGGGAGGGAGGTACAGACTGCATCTGAATTGACTAGGACCAAACTCCACCTTGATCAGCAGTATGGTTCTGAGGTTCTTTGCTTTTCCCTGCTTAGCCTCCAGGGAGAGTTACTGCAGAATGTTAGACCTTCAACTGAACTTTACTGATACCTTGGAAGATGTAATTGCGGGGTAACAGAATACTGTGGAATCTAGGTAACTTACCCATTCAACACAATTGTTATAATTGTGTAATTAATACCTTGCAGAGCTCCATAAAGAAAATTTTCATCTGATAGCTCTGTCATGGAGATATCAGATCTGTGGTGCTGCTACAGATTCAACCCTGAGGTGTATTACATAATTTGTATAAATAGTAACTAAAATTGGCTTATTTAATTTGAATTTTAGGGACCTGTTGCAATGAGGGTGGCAAAATTAGCAATTAATCAAGGGATGGAGGTAAGTTCTTTAACCTTATTATTGGAATGAAGAGAAATTTAATCCAAAAGAATGAAGTTTGAATATCTACATAGTTTTTTAGATTTCCATATTGCAATGTAATTGTTTGAATATTTCTGTTATTGAAGATGCTAGGCTCCGTTTAGCAAGTATCACAACCACAGAATTCGGATTGTACTGATGCCCTGCAGCTATGACATGCTTGTTATTCTTGCCATTGAGTTAATAGACTTGTAGACTACTCATTCATAGAATGCCAAGACCAAGAGGCACTGTGTGTATTCTCAACATCACATTATAAAAGAATCCCCGGAGGACTTCCCAGCTCCAAGCTGTATCCAGCTCTTTCCATCTTCAACTTTGCAGTTTGTCTTCTAAGGGAAACATAACCACGTAAACCAGAACCCTGGGCAAGGATTTGGCAAGGGACAGAACAAGCTCCTGATGAGCTTCGGGTTTCTACTAAGAGCAATTGTATTTTAGTTAAAGGATTTTTCGTTACAGGAATTTTGAAGAAAAATACTTCCCTGCAAGCACAAGAATCACCAATACAAAAGGAAAAAAAAAAAAGAACCACAGTACTTCCACAGTTTTATGCCAGTAGAAAAGCTTCAGTTTGTTTGCAATAAATGCAGTTTTGTACATCTAAAATTATTCTATTGTGTTTTATTTCAGTATGTTCATAATAGTACCCATTAATAGAAAACATCTTAGATAACTCTTCCATGTACCAGGTTTTATCTGTAGCTATTACCTGTTGCTCTAAAATTGTTTTACTTCATTTAATCCTCATAATACCCTCCTCCCTCAAGTTTGTGTTTGCTACTATCTGTCAGCTCTTTGTTCAGATATGCCTGAGAAGCACAGGAAGGTTATACCTCTCCCACATTGCACAGCCAACAAGTAGTATAGTCAGGCAGGAAGTGAACCCAGGAAGCCTACTCCCAGATCTCATCATTCTTCTGATAAGTTGTTCTATATTAAAAGATTCTTTTCTTTTGTAAGTAGACCTGTTTAATTTGAATTTATATTGGATGTACCATATTGCAAAAAGTTATTTCTTCTTAAGTTAATTCATTTTATTTTTTAATCCCCAGGTCGACCTAGTAACAGGGTTAGCCATAGAAGAAGCTTGTTATGCTCAGGTATGTAATTCAGTCACGCGTTCAATGGGCAATGCAAATGAACTACGTTACTGAGCAAGATCACCTTCCTCACCACCATTCCAAGGTTGGGGGAACAAATGTTAAGATAGATTGTTTCGGGCTGGGAAGGTGGCTCAGTGGTAGAGTGCTTGCCTTGCATGCATGAGGCCCTGGGTTCGATTCCTCAGCACCACATAAGCAAAAAGAAAAAAGCCAGAAGTGGTGCTGTGGCCCAAGTGGTAGAGTGCTAGCCTTGAGCTGAAGAGCTGAGGGACAGCACCCAGGCCCAGAGTTCAGGCCCCACGACCAGGCCCCCCCCCCAAAAAAGATAGATTGTTTCTTCCTTTTGATTGTGGCCAACTTTTATGACTGATTCTTTTCCACAGATGATTCATCTACATAATTTAGAAGCTGTTATAACTTGGTGCCATTTGGCTGTAGTACTTTGTCTAGGCTCATGCCTTCTTTGCCAGTATAGACTTCACTTCTTATCCTGTGTAGAGAGGTGACAGAGGGGTATGGTGTGAATGTATATCTATCATGTGGTAATGCTATTTGACACTCTGGCTTTTTCTCTCTTCTTTTTTTTTTGGTCAGTCGTGGGGCTTGAACTCTGGGCCTGGGTTCTGTCCCTCATCTCTTCAGCTCAAGGCTAGCGCTCCACCACTTCAGCTATAGCGCCACTTCCTACTCTGGCTTGTTCTGAGGTTTCATCTTGGAAGTTCACTAATGGAATTATATTTATACTTATTATAATTATCACTATATCTATATTTATTAAATACAGGTTAGCAGGTTTGTTTTGTGAGAAAGAGCTTCCAACCAAGAGCCTTGTATATGACAGGCGGGCCTACTTAAACTTGAGCTCTAGCTCCAGCTGTTTTTATGGAAAAAAATGTATTTCTTTTTCTTTTTTTTTCTGAAAAATAGTAATTTTGTTTTAGAGAATCTAAAACAAAAGCATTTCGTTCTGCCCTTTCACAGAGTTTTTAGAATTACATGATGAGATCATAAGTTAGTTACTCTTTGTCTGGCTGTATATCAATCACTCACCAATGAGTGCATGCCATGAGTGCCACTTCCAGATTTTAAGTATTTCTGACTTCAAAAAGTTTCACCAAGCATTTAAAAAGAATTCTACTTTTCTACAATGTCTTCTAAAAAATGGATGCATAACTAATACTTCTGACTTACAACATGAGGTCATCATTATCCTACCCAAAAGAAATACTAGAGAAAGATATTACAAGAAAGGAAGACTATAGACAAATGTCTCTCATGAATATGACCTAAAAAAAAATCCCTTGAGGTAGTTTCAGAAGAATTATATGCCTAACCAAGTGCGATTTATTCATACATACAAGGTTATTCAATATTGGAAAATCAGTCAGTGTACTCCATCGTATAAACAAGATAAAGAAGAAGGTGTATGGTCTTACCAGTAGATAACAAATAAAAAGCATGGGCTGGAGGAATGGCTTAAGTGGTAAAGCACCAGCCAAGCAATTAAGCTGAATAAATATGAGACCATGAATTCAAACTATGCTGCAAAAAAAGTTTTTGATAAAATCCAGTGTTTACTTATGATAAAAAAAATTCTCAGCAAACTCTAAATGAAGTAGACCATCTTCAACTTGATAAGAACATGCTTATCAAAAAACAACAACAACAAAAAACCTGGCTGACATTGTATTTAATGATCAGAACAAAATATGGTTGTCCTCTCTCTGTGACTTTTCAACATCATATATTTGGAGTCCTATTATGCAGTAGGAAAAAGAATTAGCAGTTGTACTGGTTAAGAAGGAAGAAATATACTCACAGACTGGGTTGGTTGTATAAGTAGAAAATCTCAAAGAATAACAGCCTTATCTTAATGACAGCAAGATTACAATCCAGGTTAATGTACAGAAGTCAGTTGTCTTTATCAACCAGCAATGAAAAATTGGGATTCAAAATTAACATTATAATAGCAGTCAGAATAGAATAAAGCTTAGGTATAAATCCAACAAAATATGTACATGAGCTATAGGAAAAGAAACTACAAATCTCTGGTAAAAGAAATCAAGATCTGGGGCTGGTAGCTCAGTGGTAGAGTGCTTGCCTTGCATGCATGAGGCCCTGGGTTCAATTACTCTGCACCACATAAGCAGAAAAAGCCAGAAGTGGCACTGTGGCTCAAGTGGTGGAGTGCTAACCTTGAGCTGAAGAGCTGAGGGACAGTGCCCAGGCCTAGAGTTCAGGCCCCATGATTGGCAAAACACAAAAACAAAGATCTGCTGGGTGCTGTTGGCTCAGACCTGTAATCCTAGCTACTCAGGAGGCTGAGATCTGAGGATTGCAGTTCAAAGCCAGCTCAAAGTCTGTGAGACTCTTACCTCTAACAAACCACCAGAAAACCAGTTTTCTGGTGGCTGAAGTGATACAGCACTGGCCTTGAGCTGAAGAGCTAAGGGATAGCACCCAAGCCAGAGTTCAAGCCTCATAACCCACAAAAAAAAAAAAAAAGAACAATTAGGAGCCCTGAAGTAGACCCACACAATACAGTCAGCTGATAATTTTGAGAAAGAAGCAAAAGCAGTTCCATGGAGAAAGGATAGTCCTGAAGACAAATAGGCCTAGAACATCTGAACATATACATACACAAGAATGCATCTTGCCAGGCACAGGAGGCTCATGACTGTAATCCAGCTGTTTGGGAGGCTGAGATCAGAGGAATACAGTTCAAAACTAGCCCAGGCAGGAGAAAGCCCTTGATACTCTTAACTCCAATTAATCACCAGAAAGCTAGAAGTGAAGTTGTTGCTCAAGGGGTAGAGCACTAGCCTTGAGTAAACAAAGCTCAGTAACAGCAGCCATACCCTGAGATCTAGCCCTAGAACCAGCATACACAGGTATACACATGTTCACACACACACACACACTCACACACTCAAATGCATCTAGACACTGACCCTGCACTGTTTACAGAATGAAATTCAACATGATCAAGTATAATAGGTTTTTTTAGATATAAATAAAAAACAAAAAACTTAATATTTGACTTCATTAGAATTAACTGCTCAGTAAAAATCATCACTAAAAGGGTAAAAGATAGGCTGAGAAAATTTTTGTAGAACACCTATCTTGTATATAAATTATTACAACCATATGCTTATGATGTTAAGAAAAAATTAAAAGTGCACAAAAGATCTAAGTAAACACCAAAGTATGTACACAAATGGCAAATGGTCGGTCATATGAAATGTTGCTAGAACATTTATCATTAAGAAACTGCAGATTGGGCTGGGAAGGTGGCTCAGTGGTAGAGTGCTTGCCTTGCATGCATGAGGCCCTGGGTTCAATTCCTCACCACCACATAAGCAGAAAGAACCAGAAGTGGTGCTGTGGCTCAAATGGTAGTGCACTAGCCTTGAGCTGAAGAGCTGAGGGACAGCGCCCAGCCCGAGTTCAGGCCCCATGACTGGCACACGCGCACGTGCGCGCACACACACACACACACACACACACACACACAAACACAGAAACTGCAGATTAAACTATAATGTTCATATAACCTGTTAGAATGGCTAAAAATTCAAAGCTGAAATCAGGTGCTGACAAGGTATGGTGCTACCATTGCTGCGGGGGTTGTTAAATGGTGAGGCCACATGGTGACAGTTTGGGAGTTTCTAATAAAGCCAAATGTATCTTCACCACATGAGCTAGCAGTGGTGGGTTTTGATATTTATTACTCAACTAATTCAGAAACTTACCTCCATACAAAAACCTGCACACCGTTTTATTATAATTACTAAGTCTTGTAAGTTGTAGGTAAAAAAATATAGACAGTGGTGTGTCTGTAGAATATTGTAATATGCAATGTAGTATTATATAATGATAAAAAAGATAAGATCTATGAAACTACAAAATGCCATGAAGGAACCTTTAATACATGTGACTAAAAAGTTTCAGTCTAAAAACACTATGTACAGTGTAATTCCAGAACAGTGGAATTCTGGGAAAGATTTTGAGTGACAGGTTAGGAATAAATAAGTGGAACAAATGTTGTTTAGGGCAAAATCTGTGCTGCCGAATCCTAATTTTTAAAATTAGAATTGAAATGGAAAAAAGCTATTTGGAGTAAAGATAATTCAGTCACATAATTACACAAATAATCAATTGACTAGTAGATTTCAAAAGTTTAGTATGAACTTCTGATTAGTTTTCTTAGATAATACTTGCCAAACTATGATGTTCTGTTTTTAATTTTTGGTAATGTTTTGCTTTTCTTAGACCATTTCTACAAAAGACAGACTTGAAGGTCTTCTTGCTTTTAAAGAGAAAAGGCCCCCTCGCTTTAAAGGCGAATAGGAGGCAGAAGTTCATACAGTGCCGCTGTAATGAAGGTACTTCTGGAAGTACCTTCCAATTCACCCTATGCCTCAGCCCACGGACCCTCCATGACCAAAGTGAGGAGCTGCTCATGTCCCGAGCTCGCGTCTAGAAAGACCATCCTGTACTTCCTGCCAAGTGTATCATGTCATAGTCATTCATATTTATAAGGCTAGTAGTGTACTGTCAGAAACATTACAATTAGGTATATGTTTTTCAATATTTCCTGCATATGAGGCTTTCCGTTCTTAATTTTTTAATGTGAATAATTTATATATTGCACACTCTAGGAATAATATTGACTGTATGTCTACTGTACTGCATTAAGAAAATAAAATTATTTCTGTATACCAAAAATGTGAAGTTATACCAAATAAAGTTTCTAGGTGATTAGATACATATGAACAAGTACACATATGTACATCTCAACTAGAAAAATGAATTGATAGATCTTCTGAGTGAAAACTACCTAATATGAATAAAATAAGTGAAAACAACCCTTGGGAGCTTTTCTTTTACCCCAACCTTTTTGAATTGAATACATCATTGCCTGTTGGACTTGTAGAGAAATTTTTTCATGCTGATTTTATCAGGCAGCTTCCTTACTTAGTCTTAGCCTACAGAACCATCTTAATCCAATCAGACTAATCAAAGAGTGGTCCCTGGCCCTCTACTGTGTAAAGGGCTGGCTGATTGACATAAGAAAAAATGGTACCCCAAGGTTGGTTTGGGGTCATGATATAGAGTGTCCGTGCACTGATGGCTCACACTGTAATCCTTGCTACTCAGGAGGTCTGGAGGTTCAAAAAATCTGTATGAGACACCATTTCCAAAATAACCAGCAAATAGCCAGGCTGGCAAGACAAGCCAACCAGGGTCTCTGAGTTTTTGAACCCTTGTCCACAAAAGTAAATGAGTAAGTAAATAAATAAATAAAAAAAATGGAGATTATCCTTTGCTTTCGTGCCCCCTTCAATTTACATTGGATTTTGTAAAGGAAAAAAAATGGTGAACATCACAGCCCTTTCTCCTATTAGACATGAAGAAATGTCTCGAGGAGTTGGGTGTGGGCCTCGGGGAGGAACATGGCTATGAGATATGGGAATTGGAAACTGTGGGGAGCTTACTGAAAACGGAAGGTCGACAGTGCTCCCAAATACCTGCAAATAGCTTTGTTGATGTGCATTTTGTCTGGGCAGAATGATGAAGTGGTACCCAGACATGGGCTGGGTCATGCCAAAGATGGAGCTTGCCTGTGGGATTCTATCAGCCAAGAAGGCCCTATTCTGCCTGGTTCATATGCTCTTACAACAACATCCTGCCTCTTCCTCTCAGCACTATGTCCTTATCCGAGGACTTCATTGCTCTTAATTCTCAAAAGCTTTGACTTTTAATTTGGGACTTGAACTCTCACCATAATTCTAAAATTCCAACAAGAGTCAGAAGTGAACCAGCCTGCAAATGACTGTCAGTTGCTGCTTCTTCCAACCAAAGTGGGAAGGCTGGCTGTCTCTACGGAGGCCTGTGTTACTCAGGCCAAGGGTTGCTTTCTCATCATCTGAGGTGCTGCTGATTTAGATGATAGCTGATCTGAGTCCTATAAAAGGAGCTCATTAAAATTTACAGTCTAGCAATTGCATTTGGTGGTATGTGCACTTGTTTACTGATAAATTTGCTGAGCTGTTCATTTTGCACACGATAATCTGCAAATAGTCCTTTAAAGGTTTCAGGACCATTTTATCCTATTTATGGCAAGCTAAAATGCCACTTCCATTTTAACTGAGCAGGAAACGATTGTGTTAACGAAAGGGATTATTATGAGTGCGCCAGTGACCAGGCGCCTGTGGCTCACACCTATCATCCTGGCTATTCAGGAGGCTGGGATCTTAGGATCACAGTGCAAAGTTAGCTGAGGCAGAAAAGCCAAAAGGCTGGAGGTAGAGCAGTGGTTCAAGTGGTAGAGTGTTATCCCTTTATCAAAAAGAAAAAAGAAATAAAAACTCAGGGACAGCACCCAGGCCCTGAATTCCAAGCCCCAGGATCAGCACCAAAAACAAACACACAAAACAGTGTGCCAGGTGAATTGTTGCGCCTGAGGTGGACGAAGAGGCCAGCTGACAGCTGCTTATTAATCATTTTATAATTTCCTAACATTTTATAATTTCCTGGGCATCTGTGGCTCACATCTTTAATCCTATCTCCTCAAGAGGTTGAGATTCTAAAGATGGAGATTCAAAGCCAGCAAGGGCAGGAAAGTCCATGACACTTAAACTCCAATAAACCACCCAAAAAGTCAGAAGTGGAAGTGCAACTCAAGTGGTACAGAGCCAGCCTTAAGCATGAAATGTAAGGAACAGTGTCCAGCCCCCTAAGTTCAAGCCCCAGTACTGGTTAAAAAAATAAAAAGTTCTGACAAGTCACTGCATCTGTTGTAATTTGTAATATTGTAAGAATTGTAGCCAATGCTCCGTGGCTATCTTCCCTTCCTGTTGGTTTTCTGTCTCTACACAGTCCTGCTGATGAGTAGTTCTGATGTGCCTTGGTGTGGCTGTAATGACATCAAGGGCTCTTCTCTTCCAGCCTGGGGAGTATGAGTGATCTTTCTCTGAACGTGTTGCTTCTGAAACAAGCTAGAAATATGCTGGCTCTATCTGTGCATTCAGATGAGGGGAAAGAAGGTTAAGAAGGCCTGGGCATGAAAGCAGTGAAGAGAAAAACATTTTGCTTTACTTCAGAGCAGAAAACCTACTAGTTTGGCAAGAATTCAAGACTGGCTAATTTATAACTTCTCTCCTAAACACAGAGAGGTCTCTGAGTGACTGGAGTTCTGAGTCAAGGGAAGTCTCAAACTATGAGTCCAATCTTCTGATTGCTTCTGATTTTTGACTTTTTCTGTAATAATAGATCTGGTTTCTCATCAATCAGGTCTCCTCACCTGCTTTAGCTAGCAAAAAATTGGCTTGTCACGAAGTGGAGGGATTTTTGTTTTGTTTTTGATGAAGGTACTGGGGCTTAAGCTCAGGGACTTGACCCTATCCTTCAACTTTTTTGCTCAAGATTAGCACTTTACCACTTGAGCCACAGTTTGACTTTCAGCTTTTGGCTGCCAGGGCTGGCTTTGAACCTCAATCTCAGATGTCAGCCTACTGAGAAGTTAAGATTACAGGCATGAGCCACCTGTGCCTAGCAATGAAATGTCATTTTTAAGTAGTACTTACGGGAGTGCTTTGTACATGAGCCAAAATAGTGGAATGCCAATTCTTGGATACAGCTCTTACAGAAAATGCATGTTTTCCTATGAGCTTGTCACCGTCTGGCTGGTGACTCTTCATCACTTGACCTTAACTTTCCCTTGGGGTAATGCCCCTACATTGGCTCCTTTTAGGGTCCAAAGATCCCAGCAGGCCAACATTTAAAAATAATCAGATCATTATTTGCCTACCAACCTAGTTACATTTTAACTGATGAATATGTCAGTGTTTATTGGGCTTTATCAAAACAGCAGTAAAGTTTATTTTTCTCATAAAATGTTAAAGAATAACAGTATACATAAATATACACATGTCACCAAAGACAAAAATAGCATGTTAATGTTACTGCTTAGTTGCTAATAGTTTGTTGTGCAGATTGTGATTTGGGGTGCTTTGGGAAATAGCACTCTGCCCAGAACAGCTGTGTATCTCACTCTTTGAAATGTCTGCCTTTCAAAGTTTATAATCCTTCTTCTAGTGAATCTAAAAATTTCACTAGCCCATAGAGCAGAGGATCCAATCCTCAAGTTGTTGGGCAGCATTTATTTTCTGAGCAAATTCTCCAAGGCAGCCAAAGGGGTGCCAGATGAGGCAGATGAAGGGTACCAAGAAAGATGGACTATGCACGTGGCTAGAACTAGCCTCTGGTTGCTTGTCTACATAGCTTGTATTAAGAGGAGCCCCAGTGGGAAGATGTCCTTCCTTGGTAAGTCAGCTGTTCCCTGGAGATGGACAAGGGTTTAACAGAACTGCATGTCAAGTCAAATTACAGGAAGCAGAAAACCAGGCTGGGAGGTAGCTCATTTATACAGTACATGCTTCGCATGCCTGAGGCCCTGGATTCTATTCCCAGTGCCACAGAAAAAGAAAAAAAAATATGTTTGGGGGGCCATATTGGCATTGTCACTGAATATACCCTGTAGATACGATGGAGTAAGGCTAAATATTGTCATGGAAGAAATTACTGAATTATAAGCCCATCATACCTGTCTGATACATTTTACAGCATTACTTTGCTTCCTCTCCTGTCCTCCTGCAGTCACTCCCACTGTGATCTTTGATGGTTCCAGAAGGCTCAAGCCTGGAGAACTCAGTTGCCCAAAGCATAGCAGTATGTGATGGAGTTCAGGACTGAACCTAGAGCTGTTGACTTTCTCATTGGTACTGAGCTGATAAAACCAGACATCATAACCAAAGACTGCTAATGTGTAGGAACCAGTATCCTTTGCTCTAAATTGTTTGCCAGTTGTCTCATCACTTGGAGAGACTCTGAGTGTACTTACTAAATGATCTGATGGCACAGACAGGCAAGGTGACAGAGCTCCTTGGAACCTTACACCAGTCACTGCATGGTTCCTATTCCTTGCCCTAGGAAATGGGTCTGTCTCTTGCTTAAGAAACAGACCGGCTGAGCCACTGCTGGTGACTCACTCCTGTAATCCCAGTTACTCAGGAAGCTGAGATCTGAGAATCACAGTTCAAGTTAATCCAGACAAAAAGTCCATGAGACATTTATCTCCAAAAAACTACTCAAAAAAGCCAGAAGTGGCCCTGTGCTCAAGTGGTAGAGACTAGCCTTGACTACAAAGAGGCTCAGGGACAATACCCAAGTCCTGAGTTCAAGCCCAGGACCGGCAAAAGAAAGAAAAAGGAAGGAAGAAAGACCAGCTGGGCGTGGTGGCTCATGTCTGTAATCCTAGCTACTTTGCAGGCTGAGATCTGAGGATTGCTGTTTAAAGCCAGCCCAGGTAGGAAAGGTTGTGGAACTCTTTAATCACTGGCTCAAGTGGTGGATTGCTAGAGCAAGAAAGCTAAAAGTCAGCATTTAGGCCAAAAGTTCAAGCCCCAGTATTGGTATAGGAGGGTGGGGAGGGGTGTGGAGAGAAAAAAGGAAAGAAGGAAGGAACTAAAAAACAGGCTGTGTGAAAAATTCATGCTGATCACTCTGCACTCAAGGTCCCAATATTTATTTATTTATTTTGAAATGAATACATTTCCTGTCCAACATTATTTACTGACCCCACTGCCAGTACCTGCAGCTGTCTTTGGAAAGACTGAGAGGTATACAGTGGTCTCTGATCCAGCCTTGGGAGCCGTTACACTATGTGTGCCAGAGACTCGAAAGGAATAGAAACATCACCATGGCATGAGGTCGTATCTTTGGACTGCAGTTTATTTTATTTTATTTTATTTTTTTATTGTAAAGATACTATATATACAGAGGGGTTACAGTTACATGAGTAAAG